GGCTGTCACCAAGCACCTTGTTGACTTTCATGTGCCTTAGCATGCCTGCCACGAGAATCTGCTCCAAGATTTTGCCAGGCACAGAGGTGAGACTGACTGGTCTGTAATTCCCCAGGTCATCCATTTTCCCTTTCTTGAAAATGGGGGCTATATTTCCCTTTTTCCAGTCATCGGGAACTTCACCTGACTGCCATGATTTTTCAAATATGATGGCCAGTGGCTTAGCAACTTCATTTGCCAGCTCCTTCAGGACTCGCGGATGGATTTCACCAGGTCCCATGGACTTGTGTACGTCCAGGTTCTTAAGAGGGTCTCGAACCAGATCCTCTCCTACAGTGGGTGCAAGGTCTTCATTCTCACATTAATTCTGAATTCTTTAAATAATTGCAGAATCTTTTTTGTGTATTTTGCCTGAAACAACTTTAAATATTTTCCCCATTAAGTTAAGACTTCCCTTACAGGGCTTGTTCTTTTAAACAAGTTCTGTCCTGAAACCCTGAACAGGAATGGGCACCTTGGAGGATTTGTCTTTTCAGTGTTACCTGGCTGAACTTGTTATGAAAAGTGTAGTTAAAGAAACCTCTAACAATTGATACATGAAGATCCCACAGAACACTAGAAACAGTCATGCAATTACAGCAGTAAAAAAGCAGTGTTTTACAGCCAGATTTAAGCTTATGGCTTAGGCTATACTTCAGATGATGAGTGACACTTGAGTCTCAGGTATAAAACAACACGTAAGTTTGGTTAGCCAGCTCTTCTTTATTTATGCAGATCTGTGCTCATTATTTGTTAGCAGATATTGATTGCCCCTTTCAGGGCCTGATTCAGACTCAGTTACAACATGTATCTTTCCTTTGTACTTACAGGATTCGTACCACTCATAGCTCCTAGGCAGAATAGTGGAAAATAAGTACCCACTGTCGCATGTGTCTTAATGTACTTTAAAAAAGCACTTTAATAAAATCTTGCAGAGATGTGTAAATCACATAATAATATTCCAACACCAGCCTGAGTAACTGTAATATCTGTACTTACTGAGGTACAACAGGATGGCCAGCCCCAGCTTCATGCCTCCCATGAAACTCAAACTGGTACTGCTGCAAGAGAAGAACTGGTGGGTCACTTGGTGCTCTGCCTCACCAAGGTAAGTCTACACACCCTTGTGTGTAGGCTTACCCAGAGCTAGCCTTTAGTAAAGTGACAGTCATAATAAAAAATACAAAAACCAAAATGAAGCCCTGGCTTTGATTTCATTGTAGCAAAAATTTCTCATCACAGAAATTTCCACACTGAAACCAGGATGAAAGCAGAGGGACATGTCACAAAGGCTGTCGGAGAAGACTGAAAACACAGTCACACTTAGTGTAAAATAAAAACATAATGCTATCAGCAAAAAACGTTATACTATTCAAATACCAGCTATTTAATCTTAACTAGATTCAGCAGGGCTGTTTGGAGAAGTCTAACTCCTTCTCTAGAGGTTATTTCTTTTCATTAACTTAAAACAAAGACTGCAGTCCTAATGAAGACGCCACTGAGAAACGCCTGATGTCAGGTGTTATGATTTTTGGGAGAAACAAGATTACAACCACATCTTATAGCGAAGAAAAAATGTTGTATCAATGCAAAAAACTCATACGGGGGAAACAGAGCATGAACCCAATGGAGGTTTTACTGTGGCATTTACTTTACACCCATTCTCTTTCTGCTTACCAGGAGGAAAGCAAGACTTGCCACCACAAAATCTCTGCTGGAAAAACAGAAAGCAGACATGGATATAAAAGACAATCCAGCATCCTGCCACCAAGCAGAGCTCTGAAACAACAGCCTGCTCCCCATCTTTGCACCTTCCAACTCTTTCTCCATCCGTAGGCACCTGTGAGGCCAGCACACCCTGATGCAGCTCGAGTTGCTGGGGCATCCCTGTATGACCATGCCCGAAGTGCCGCTTTCTGGCTCCATTGTTGCTCCTCACCTTCATACAGCCATTGCTGTGCTAAATGTGCTAAGATGAAACACCCCCCACCCTGAGTATGGGCAACATAAGTAAAGGCATTGAAAGTATTCCAGTAGGCTGCATGTAAGTTTGATTCACGCAGCTTTACACAACCCATGACACAACAGCCATATCTAGATGGCTATTTCAGCAACCACAGGTAGGGAAAGCTACCAAGGGTCACCAGCCTTTCATGCTGCTTCAGCTCCTCTCACCTGCCACGACCACAGAGAGCCTGGGGGGTGACAGGGAGACAATGTCAGTGAGCATGAAGCAGCTGAGCCTGGCTCCCAGCTACAGAGAGAGATGGTGGTGGAACCAGTGTGTAAGCAAAACCGAGCAAACAATTTTCTGTTGCATTGTACTTTAAATTTTATACTCTGTCATAATAATGGACAGACTCAGAGATGACTTAAGCTGCAACCACTGCAATAGCATCGCAGTGAGTATAGATATCCACAGTAAAAATAAGCCTGGTAGGTACACATCCCAGTCCGTATGCTAACATTGTGATGTTCAATACCAATGATACTCTTTAAACATGACTCCCTTTAACAGAGAAACAAGGACTGGCCAAACCCCAACATACGTTAGTTTCATGCTTAGTAGAAAAATTAAATATTGAAGAGGTCTTACCTGGGCTTCAGACATCCAAGTGTTTTAGCTGGAAATGAGCACAACTAACTGAGGAAAGCAAGCAAAGGCATACCTGTGTGCTTCAGCTAGAGAAGACAGCACGTCCCCCGAGGCACCAAGGTGGAGGTGAGAATGAGACCCAGCCTGCAACCTGCCAAAGGCTTGATTTGTGAAGTCTTTCTGATGGAGCTTCTGGCATCAGCAAATATGTGCAGTGAAAGAAAATTGTGACAGGTTAAGTTCGCAGCAGAAAAGTTCATGCAACTGAAAAGGCTGGGATTCTTAAAGTGCTGGCAACAACTCTTTGATTGTTTAATTAATCAACTGCTGGTCCAGTTTGCAATCAAACATCAAAGTTGTGGCACTGACTTATCTGAACATTAGCTAGAATGGACAAGTCCTCCCAGCAGGGGTGCAAATGGTGTGGAAGTGCTGATTTGGGGTTTTGTGCCATCCACACCAGTGCAATCAGATGAGGATCACACCTAAAAGATGCAATCACACCTGTGTGGATGTATGGAGCCAGCTTCAGATTAGCTCAAGCTCTGGATCCCCACCAGGAGCACTAGGTTTTTCAACTTAAGGCAACTTGAGTCACAGTCGCCATACTTCAGCATAAGCTTTGCCTGTAACTGCCTCCAGCAGCAAGCATGTGGAAGGGTGGTGTGCGGAGTACAGTGTGGTCATGGGAAACATGATGGAGCAACTTTAAAATGGCATTCACCAGCTCGTGAACAGAACTGGCCACTGGGTTTTGGTGCCTTTGTTGAAACCTGTGGCATTTTGATTCCAGTCTTCAGAATGGCAGGTTGTGTTGGGTACACATTCTTAGTTGTGATATATTTGTTACCGGTTCTCCTGTGACAGCTTGTAAGGCTTAATTCATGATTGCCTGCAAAGTACCATCACACCCTCAAACAGAAGGTTTTCCGTATGTGCAAAATATGTTTTATAGATTAATCATCACTTTTCTTTTGGTAGCTCCTATTCTTTTAGGAAAAAATAAATACACATGTTCTTTAATCCTATTGCAATGCTTAGTATGAAGTGTCCTCTGCCATTACTATGATTGTTCACTCCAGCAGAAATAATTCATACACTTTCATTTTCTGAAGTAATTTTCCTCAAGTGCATACAGAACTTACTTGTGGGAGACTTTTTTCAGGCTAATTTAATCTGCATTTGTTTTGTATTCATTCATGATTAGTTATTGTACAGATGGTTTATATTTAGTGTATTTCAATATTAAGAAGTAAAAGACTAAATAACGTATTAAGACAATAATTTTACTTTTTCTGCGTAAGCACTATGTCAAGTGCTCTCTGAAAGAGTAACATATAACTGAAGAAGGTATTATCATTGTGATGCTACTAAATTATAGAAGGGTTGACATTTTATTAGCATACTTGGTAGGGGATTCAGATTTTGTTACAGAGAAGTTATGTGAGAAGTAAATATCAAGGAAGATTTATTTGCAGAATATAGCCAGTCCTGTGTTTTGATTTATGTAGGACCCCAAGCAAGAGGGAGGTTTTAAATCGCTTGAGGCAGGGATTAAGAAACTTCTTACTTGCTTTAATCTCTCCACTGGTAGAGGATCTAGATTTATAATGCATCACTTGTCCCATGCTGGCTGGAGGGTAGATAGCATTGGTGTGTGAGTTTTCAAGTCATCACAGGTCCTAGGGTTGTCATTTCTTAAGCCCAAGGCATATCCATAACACACACAAAGGGCAGGAATTGCTAGCACTTCAGAGACACCAGCCAGCAGTGAGGGAAGAGAGCAGGCGTAGAGGCATCAGCCCGCTTCAGAGCCTGGCCCCAGGGTGCTAGATGATGGGCAGCTGGCACAAGCCCCTACAGGTACACATTTTCCTCCAGTGGACATTCAGAATGAGAATGTCTCCTTGGATATATGGATTTATTCCCCTGTAATAAAAATGTGAAAAACATTAGAAAAGAAATAATTGCAGCTTTCCTTAATGTTTCAATAAGAAATAAAATGACTTGAGCCTGGGATTATCCTAGCTGAGGACAGATGCCTGCACTGTAAGAACTAAAGATTAATGCCATCCATTAAAAATTGGCCAAAACCATAAATGAAGTCAAATGATCCAAAAAGCAAAACTATCATGATACATAACTCTCCTCTTTTGTTTCTTCTCTCACTTCGTCAAGAGTATCTTATCCATGAAGTGTAGTTTCTCAATGGGAAAGACTGCATACTTTTCGGTTTTCTACACATTGGGAGAATGTAGCACTGAACAATAAAAACAGAATGAAGTATAAGTTTGCAATAAAATATGTATTGTATTTGACAAATCTGATCAGGAGAGTGCTCAGGACAGTGCTCAGGACAGCAGAAGAACATACTGCAGAGCTCAGGGGCAGAGGGAGAGGGAGACCACCAAGTCCTCCAGACTCCTTGCCTCCTCATCCCACCAGCTGGCTGCTCCTCCATATGTTGCCTCCTGGAGCAAACAGCTGCTTTTAAAACCATAGTTAATAACTGTTTGAAAGAGCTTTTCCACAGTTCAAAAGAAGGTAAATTCTACTTATAAATTATAAGAAGCTTTTCATTTTCTAACAGTCACAGCACACCATGGTGCCCGTCACCTTTTGTGTGTTTCAGGTGTTTGAAGTCTTTGGTTTTTCCAGCACAAACAAGAAATACAGTTTCACCTTGACTACTCTCTCCTTGGCAGGCATAGCATTGCTGATAGTAGGAATCAACACTACAGACAAAAAAAAGACAAGAGCAGGTTTGTTTTAAAATATCAGTGTAATTTACAAAGTGCTATTCAAGAGACGATATTTCAAATTGTTTCCTAAGGTCCTGACATTTCCAAGCTGGTGGTACAATTGGCAGGATGGGAAGTCTGTCACATACCTTGTTGCCATCTCATGTTTACTCAGAATCGATGAGTTCATGCAGTACAACTGGACAAAGCTGTTTCTAGGAACCTTCTCACATCAGTTAAAACAAAAGTTCCTGTGTTTTTCCACTTTGCATTGCTTTACTGGCCTATTAATCAGAAATAATTTTTCCCCCCAAACTCAAGAGAAAAAATAGATTATTGTGCATGGAAACACAGCAGAGTGGACTGGAAAGTTAAAAAAAGAAAAGGAATATGCTTAAGAAGAAACAACTGAAGACACATACGAGGAAAAGGAAGCAAAAGAGCTTTTTCAGCCTTCACAAGGTGCTGTAGCCTGGCATGCAGAGCTGCCTCTGGTTCTTCCCCTCGTCTTCCCTCCCAGCTAGACCTTCTGGATGACCCCTAAGCCTCCTTCACCCTTTATCAAGCTTGGAGGTATTGACAAACTACCATTACCTAGCTGTGCCTGCCGTGGGACTGCACCCATCGGTGCCATGGTGCATGGGATCAGAGGCACAGCAGTACTGATGCCAGGTACGTGGAAAAAGGCTGATGCCAGAGCACCAGCAGTGGAGAACTGTTAGATCAGCACAGCCATATGGTGAATCAGAACTTGTAGGTGCTCTGGATGTCCTCCCAAAGGGGGCTGTTCCCTTACCACAGTCCTTGTAAATAGTCTTTCCCTCCTTGTGCCAGTAACCAGGGTTCTTCAGGGGTTGGATATAGCCCTGCTTTTTGCTTTGTACAATGTCATGACAGCTATGGTGAACTTTCAGATACATTTTCCAAGTGATGATTTATTATACCTGAAAAATAAACTGAAAAAAAAACATGGAACTGGCACCTCCTTGATGAAAACTGCCTTCCAAATGGAAACACAAAGCAACATCCAGCCTGGGAAGGCACAGATAACCCTCCTCCCTTGGGATGACCTGCTCTTTTCTTGTACAGAGCAACATTTCCACAGCTGTTTGGAAAAGCTCTGTTGGCTCCACTACACATTTCGAGACATCAACAAAGACCCAGACTGAAGAAGTGCTTCACCCTGGAGTAGTTGCTCCTATGGGGTGTCATCCACAGCTGCCTGGGTCTTTCTGCTGTGTCCCTATGGACCTTCCACAGGGAAATGAAGGAAAAGCACACCAAAGAGGGCAGATTTCCTCTTTGAAGCACACTCTCTGGGTTCCTGCCTTTATCTGGCCCCATTGAGTCCACATACAAGTTTCCTCTGTGATTATCAAGAGAAAACTGCATTTTGAGGCTTTAATGGAAGTGCTGTAGGCTACATATATATGCTTCACAACTGTAAGAATTAACCATGCACTTTTTCTCTTCTAAAACAGGGTCTCCACTAAAAAGGGAGTGTTGTATCAAACCTGCAGAAGTTAAGAGAAGCTGTATTTATACTGATGACTTTATTAGGAATAATCTAAAGTCTCTGCAAATAAGACTACTGGAAAAGATTTTTAAAAGCCAGTGTCTGCTTCACCCATCTCACATTTTAGCTACATGGAAAGGTTTGCTTGTCAGGGCACTGCTGCTCATTTCAAGCTGCTTAAGCTAAGGTGCTTCATATCAGTCACACAAAATGGCTAATTTAAAGACAATTTGACCAAAGATTTTTCCGGAAAGACATTTCCTCAATTGCCTTCTTCAAGAAAACAAAACCTGCAAAGTACACACAACACAGGCCAGAGAGTATGGTCCTTCCAGCTCTGCCAGCAAATTTACTTGAGCAGCATGAAGAACAATTGTTGAATTCTATCTACCTATATGCTTTTAAAGAGTCAATCATACTGTTTTAAAATAACAAGCTCTATTTTGGCAAATAAATAAAAGATCAAAGAAACCCCTTAATAAGCCATGGATTAAAATTCTATTATAGGTTTGCAGAATTTAAGTACAATTTGTATGAGGAGCTAGGATAACAGCAGCTTCTCAGTGGAAATCATGAAGCTTCTCAGTGGAAAGCTTTTCCCACCACAGTACCTGTTAATAGGGCATAACAGTGCTTTTATTCTGCTTTAATGGTCTCTGTACTGCTGAAAGTGCTAAGAAAAGATTGTGCTATTTTTATTCACCCAAATTTCTGTGGCAATGTTCTGTTTAAAAGTCCTGTTATTAGATTTCCCATACCTGTCAGTCTAAATTATCCTATGTATTTTTCTCTAGGTTAAAGTAAGTTCTTCTGCAAAGATTAAATGGATGTTTAGAAATTATCCTGAGTGCAGAGTATCTCTCTGGCCCCTGAGGAACCTTTGTGGCCTACTGGCTGAGAAACATTTTGCTACCAATGCAGAAACCTTTCAAACCTTCCATAGTGTGGTCTGTTTGGGAACTAAGATCTATGTTTGGGTTGTTTTGGTTGGGGATAAACAAAAATCAGGAGACCACAATTAAAAAAAAACCAAACAAAAACAACAAAGAGAAAGAGTCAATTCCACAAGCTCCCCCAGAAAAACCCTAGGAAATTGGAACCACCAGGAGAAGAACCTGACAGACAGAGGATGACAGCTTCAGTTTGAGGAGAGGAAAACAATGGAGGGGAAAGTATGTCTGCTGTAAGACAATGGTGATGGCAGCAGCTGCAAAAGCATCCACTGCAGAGCCACCAAAGCATGGTGGTTAGAGAGCTCCCATGGTAGCCACTGCCTCCTGTCCTGTTGGAAGCATAAAGTGAAACCAGCTCTTCCACTGTCCTGGGGAGTGTCCAAACTACTAGTCTCAAAAATGAAAGCCTGCCCTCAGAGTTTCTCCTTTATTTTTACAGTAACTACAAACTTAAGTATAATTGGAATAAAATAATTTTGGTTTGTTTAGTTCATTTGGGTCAGTAAAAGTGAGATGGACTTTTCTTTCTCATTATTTTGTTGGCTGGAAGAAATAGTTTCTCATATAATTGGAAAACAAAAGTAGCACAAAATCACTAGAAATCCAAGGAAGTACATTTAGACTTGTAGAAATGAATAAGCTTCAGGAAGCTGCAGAAACAAAGATGGGTACAATAAAATAACTGGGAAATCTGACATTTTCCATCTGGAGTCACCCACGTGTTCTACACGTGGTGTCTGGCTGTGCAGCATAACAGCACTCTCACATGGCCCCCTCTCCTGTGGTCACCCACAATGTCCCCGGCTGCAGAAGACAGCAAGACAGACAACAGAAGACAGGCATTAGACAAACCAGAACTCAGCCAGAAGCCTCAACAGTTATACACACCTTCTTTTGCCTAACCTGGCAGTATAAACAGCTAAACTGACATTTTGGAGATTGTCCATTTTCAGTTGCAAATGAAACTTAATACGAAGGCTTCTGGGGAGTATTTAAATCTATCAACATATACATGCTAATTACCTAAAAGTATGACAGAATGATAGCTGGCTGACTCTCAGCCATTTAATTTTATCTGTGTCTATCCTGTAATATCTGGAATCTGTACAAACACAGGAAGCATCACACATAAGTCACACATAAAATAAGTGAAGGGAACGATTAGATTTTGTCATGGATTCTAACAGTATAAACAGTAGCACAGCAATAACTGTGTGCTACTGGTGCATTGATTTATATAATTTGCCCAGGATCAAGTACATATAACCTCTGCTTTATCTCTCCCTCAAGTACTGAATTATACCAGATGGGAGAAAGACAGAAAAATTAATGTCACTCTTCATTTTCCTGACATCCCCTTATCATGTGGAAAGGAAGTGCTGTCACCACCAGGACAGCTAGGTATAATGGAAACTTAACCAAGCACAGAAAATCCCAGCAGCAAGCCTGGAGAAGGGAATACCTCTTGCTTTCAAACACTATAACTGAGGTAGCTCCATTTCAGCAGAAGGGAGCAGGAAGCAGTCTTCTGCTTGCTAACCATTCATGCAGAGCACATTTCAACAGCAATTGGCTTGCTCGCATGTTGCCAATGCTTCCTCAACAGATAGTGACTATAACCTGAACTCCCAGCAATGGAATCAAGGGAGCAGGTGTCAGTGAACACCAAGACAGATTGCACTTCAGAGTCCCTGCTATATCTTGAAGGGTAAAGAAACCTGCAGCAGAAAACAGGGTAGAACAGAACCGGAGCTTCAGGGAAACCAGGGTCAATTTGACACTGGGGATCGAGAGGGTGGGAGAGGGAAGAAAAGCAGCTCATTCAGGTACCCTGGCAGAGAAAACTTTTGAGAAGGTCCACAGTTAATCCTAGGGACACAGGCTGGGCAAGAAAGATGTGGAAAGAGCTGGGCAAGGGACTGCAGAGATGTTGAAAGTTGCAGCTAGAATTGTGGCTTAGTTGGATGGACATGAAAGAAGTGCCATGTGCTAGGAGTTTGGGATAAAAAAAAAACTATGGCCATGCAGAAATAGAGGCTGAAGCAAACCAGAGCTATCGACAGGTGTGGCCACAGGGTCTCCATGCACTGTGTGGGCAGGTCTGTGCAGAATGCAACATCTGTTTAAAGAGTTGGCATGCACTGGACCTACCCAGCATGTTGAGGTGCTCATGTAAGAGTATCTTGACCCCCTCAGATCACCTTGCATAAGGGTCCTGAAAATGAACTGAAACCCTGGTGACTGCCACATTATGCTTACAATAGATGCAGCTTAATTAACAGTTGTCATTTTTGCCAGGTTCAGCTCTCACCAATCATATTCAGATTGTTACAGAAAGCAACAGGCATGATAAAAATAAATAATAATTAAAAATGAACAAAAAATACCACCACTAAAATATGGAGTTAATGTTCTTTATTATTAAAATCAGAACAATATTCTTACAAAGTAAAACCTTTCTAGCCATTTGCAAGATTTTCTTAGAGCCTGTTTGGCCTGGCAGAACATCAAGAGAATAATTTTCAAGAAAAATTCTAAAGATTTATTTCTTGTAGAGCCCAAACAATTAAATGTACATACTTCCTTGCACAGATTTCACAGTAAGTTTGGGGACCCTTGTTCTGCCGATTAAGCATCAACTTACCTGCACACTACCAGTATATTTGTAAAACCACAAGGGTCACCACAGCTTGAATATTTTAGATAGAATATTAGTAAGACTATGTCAAGCTTGTCACTATTTAGGAATATCCTAGTATTGACACCATTTCACATAAAGCTTATCCAGACCACTCCCCCACCCTGAAAAAGACTTTAGTGACTTTCATGCAATTAACAAATAGCAATGTCTCTTCCTCTATCAAAGGCTAATCATTCATATCCCTCCACTATGCCACGTAACAATGTTCTGCAGGTAGCCCTGCAGAAGCCTAAATCCTTCCCACTGTCCAGTGGGACACAGCACACTTGTAGCAAAGAAGTAAAGAAATATGATCATTTGTGAATACAACTTCAAAGAAGCTTTGAGAGACCTATTTATTAATGGTCATGGGTTTTCTTCAAGAAAACTATGCTCCAAAGAATGGTTAACAGAACATCAAAATCAAAGAAATACTGATGCTCACAATGCACACTACTGCGTCTTTGTCTCCTGATAGTTACTGGCCTTGTGCTGAGTGTTTAGAAAATTCAAGAAACCATTATGTGAAAGGATTAGTGGCTTTATGTAACTTGATAAATTATAAAAATATTTCTATTTTGTAATCATGATCTAATTACTAAAAATAGCCAAGAGGTGATAGATCAGGATTACTAACCTGACATTTGTAATCTAGAGAGGAATTCAGCTCCGTGACTGATGGTCCCTTCCTCCACACACAGACCATACAATCCATCAACAACATACAGGAAATCTCTGCTGAATGAAAGACATGACTTCAAACTGGTTATCTGTCTACACCAAACAATTTAAATTCTTGGGAAAAGGAAAAAAGGAAAAAAAACCCAAACCAAAACCCCAACAAGATTACACTGCAATGTTTTAACCCCAGTTTCCACAGTTCTTTGCTGAGTACAGTACCTCCTCTGTGAGAGAAGTATATGCCTCATGCAGCAGCTGTATAAGTTGCATTTTAGATGTTAGTTGACAGAAATATTCAGAAGAAAATCTTCAAGAAAAGACTGTGATAAATTATTTTGGAGTATTGATTAAAACAGTGGTGATTACACAGAATGAAGCTGTCCCACTTACACAATGAATTAATGGCAAATAGGATTGTTTCAGGGTAGCTGAAGTGGCTCTAACATATTTTTCCTTTCAGTAAGCTGGATTGCTGCTTTTTGAGACCCTATGAAAAGAAATTTTCATGCAAATAGTTTAAAAAAGGGTGTATCAAAAGACCAGAGGTGGGACAGAAAAACAATGCAGAATAGAGATCAAGGCCTTCTTCCATCACCACCTTGTTTTTATTTAAAGCAGCTACAGAGATACCAAGAAAATGGAAGACCATAAATAAGCACCACCATGACAACCACTTACATCACTGCATTGCAATTGCAGCTCCTATTCATGGAGGCACGGTAACTCCATCCAGGTTTTGGGTAAGGAAATGGCACCACTGGAACCACTGCCACAGCAATGGGGGCAAGACCTTGCCCACCCTGTGCCTCCACCGGGCTCACTGGCACAGGGTTACCTCACAGGCAGAAGACAGAGCCGTGTGGCAACCTGGGGCGATATAAACCGCTTTTAAGCGTTGGCCAAGGTAGGGGACGTATAAACGCCGAAAATCCTCCTCCGATCAGCCAGTCTCGCCGCCTGAGGGCAGGTGTCAGGCACAGCCACCCCGAGCTAAAAGGCGGGAACAGCGGCTCCGCAGCGAGCGGCAGCGCAGACGACCTCGCTACGGCAGAGGCTGGGGTTCACCCAGCGCCTCCCTAAGCTGGACCGCGGCACAGGGCGCACGCTGGCAAGAAACGGCATGGCGCCAGGGCAGGGGACGGCAGCGACCGGCTCCCACCACCCGGCAAGGCAAGACGAGCACAGAGCCGACCCTCCGGCAGCCTCAGCTCCCCGGCTCTTGTGAGAGTGGTGCCTTCTGATTGGCAGAGGGCACCTCCCGCCCCCATCGCCACCCGGCGTCTGCCCTGGAGCCCGCTCTCCCTCGAGGCCCCGCCTCAGCGCCCTCACCATCCTCCTTACCCCAACAGACGACCCCTGCACTCCCTACTTCTCCCAGCTCTCACCGCTCGTCCCTAGGACTGATTTTCTTTCCCTCCACCCACTTTCCAGCCCCCATCCCTTCATCTCCTTATTTGCTCTCCTACACCTGTATTTCCTTCTCCTTCCTAAATGTCACTTCGATGTCTCCATGTTCCGGTAAAGCGGCTGCTAGCTTTCCATATCCCTGCCCCGCCTGACCCCCTCGCGCTGCTTCAGTCCCTACGCGCCGCCTAGGCTCTCCCGGCCGATCCCCGCCGCTCCTGCTGCCCGTTCCCTTCCACTCGCCGTTTCTCGCTAACGGTTTCAAAATGCCTTTACAGCCGTAGTGAAACACCTGACTGGACGACTGCAGCAGCAAACGATGGGATTTGGGTATTCGGGTTTACTCTTGGAAAGCTTTAGCCAGGTTTTCAGTTTTGCGTATCCTGCATGCGGCTTCCAGCATGTTAATGCTGAAGTGTGTTGAAGTGCAGGGGGGTATCTGTGAATGTTCACGTTTCCTTCTCTTTGGTCTACCATCTCTTACCGTCTTCGGTATCAATGTGCTTCGTAGCCTAATATTTCTGGAATTTACTTTTTTCTGTCCTGTTTCAGTTGTGGTTTGACATATGAAACACCTTATGTGGTTTCCTCTCTTTGCACACATCAAGGGACTTCATAAATTCCTAACAGTTAAGAAGTGCTGTGTTTTGGGGTGAAGGCAGCTGTACTTTTACACAGATGACTGCACTCAAGTCTCAGGGTGCTTTGGGTTCTTGTTAAATACCGACGTGAAACGAGGTGTGTATGTGAGGGGCAGCCCCTTGCCTCGCCTACGTGGCTTGCAGTTGATGGCTGGGTTTCTCCCTTCCTCCCTGATCCCTTCAGGCTCCTGGCAGGCGCTTGTAGGCTGCCATTGAGTCTGATCAGGAGAGCAGAAAACACACAAAAGGCATAAGGTAAGGAGCACAGTTTGAATTAGGATAGTCTGGCACTTGATGGATGCAATATGATCACTGCTAATATTTTTTTTAGCACAGTGCAGGCAAATACGTAGTGTCTGTACAATGCAGTGTTCTCACTATATAATTTTTTCTATTTTTCTTAAATTCTGAAAAAAAGCTTACTGTGTTTTCCCTTGAAGGACAAACTGCTGCAAGCAGTTTTGTCCCAGGCCATAAGATGTAAGAGGCATCTCGATGCAGAATTGAGTACCAAAGCCGGTTTTTGTCTGTGAGCCGATTTGGTTGCTTTAGTTTGTAGCCTGTAAGAACATCTGTTGAGCATCTCTGATGCACAGCTAATAACCAGATCTATCAGTTGCTCTTTCCAGGCCTCAGTGCTGACAGCATTTTAAGGGAAAATAGGGCTTAGCCAGCAAAATCCCTGGCTGCTGAATTATACCTTATGAGCACTGGCATGTCAATATAAGAGCTTTAAGTGCTGTAGCTAAAGCTTCCTGCTGTTTCTAAGAGGAGGAAACAAATATACAGATAAATATATTTTTGGCTTAGTTATTTCTCACTTTTAGTATCATTCTCTCTCTCCCCCCCGCTTTTTCTTTCTCTCTGATCCAACTGTTATTATAGTTGCCAAAATTATCACAACAGACTGATCAGTTCTTGTATGTTCCTTGAAACCCACTACCTATCCCGAAAAAGCGAAAGTTACTCTTTGAATCTGTACTGTTTTCTCATTTGCAGGTTCCTTTCGTTCCCTAATGCTGTAGATATCCAGACAAAGGGTTTTCTTATTCAAATTGTATATACTTTTGCATGCTGCTTGAAACTCTTGTCATGGATCTACTTTTTCCTCTAAATCATTACAAAGAGAAAATCTGTATGAATGCTGTGAAACTCATCACTTTCTGTGGTGCTGGGGTGTGGGTTTGATTTACTTGCTTCATCAAAAACACCACTGGAGTCTTCAGTCTCTCTGGTGTATGAATACAAAAGTGTGGTGTATATATATCTTTAAATCTTACATGAAGCACTTTTCCTTGAATAACTTTGATGTCACTAACATGTTCATATTTCCCAGAAGACATTGCAGAGCTCTCCTTTTGGCTGTAGTGTCTGGTGGCAGCAACATAAACGTAGCCCCACGGTTATGAGTTTGCAAGTCTGGTTTGGTAGCAGCACAACTGTAAAGCCCCAGAGGGGACGCTAGCAGAGAGAATTAATTGCTGCAATTGTAAGGAAAAAATCCGGAGATAAACTAACGTTGCTGTTACTAAGGGGTGAGGTTTGTGGTAAGAGGCAGCTCCACCAACACATGGAAACCAATCTCCATTCGAATTCGAATGTCCATCTTGGGCACAAGATCTTTTTTTCCACTTCAGGTCTGAAAACTGGCGTGTGAGCTTAAAATCTGTCTTTCCACAGTACTTTAGCCCACTGCCTTGAATCCTTTTCCGCTGTAGAAAACCTAAGGAAAGATACTGCCTCTTCCAAACATTGCCTGCTTTTATATCCACAGCATCTTGAGCAGCATTACTGCTGCGAGCTCAGCTTACAGTGCTTTTGAAGGTACTTGATGTGCATCACTTCAAACGATGACTCGGTATAACCTGCAGCTTCACGAATTCTTTGTGACACCCATTTTGCCCTCTTCGGAGCAGTACGCTCCTCCCGCTGGCGTACCTGTGCTGGCGGCGTTGGGCCCAGCGCCGCAGCAGCCGCAGCTCCCAAACCCCAGTGGCCTGAGGCATCCGTCACGGCTCAGCACTGAAAAGGCCCAGCGCGGGGAACGGCCTCTGCTGGATCGACTGACGCGCGTCTTCCTTAAACTCTCCCCACTCCCCACGCCGCCGGTTCGGCGCTCCCGGAGGCAGTACCCGCTGCCGCGGTGGGCGGTGCGTGCCCGTGGGGCGGTGAGCATGCGCGCGGGCGGGGCGCCGCCGCGGCCGCTCTCGCCGGCTTGTTCCTCCCGCCGGGCGTCGGTGGTGGAGTGAGTCCGCTTGGGGCCACGAGTGCTGCCATGTTTAGCGTGGCGGGCGCCGAGCAGGGCGTTGCGGCTCCCTTCCCCTCTCCGGCCTCGCCCGCGGCGCTGGGTAACGGCGAGAGAAGCGAGAGGTAGGGGAGGGCGGCAGCGAGGCGGTCGGTGCGGCCTGTCCCGTTCATCCCGTGCCTTGGCCGCCCGGTGCGGCCTGTCCCGTCCCGCGGCTACCCCGTGCCTGGCGGCGGCTGGGAGGTCCCGCTGCCCGCACAGATGTGTGGGTTCCGAGCTGACGGCCGCCTCCTGAGGCCTCCCTCGGCGCGGGCAGCCGGCGGGGGTCGGCCGGCCCGGGAGGGGAGTCAGGCGTGGGGCCGCGCCGCGGCTGTGAGTGCGGGGTGCGGGTTTTCGGGCGCGAACCGGCTCCGGTCATGGCTTTGCTTCCAAGTTGTCCGAGTCAGTGCAAACTGCCCGAGCGCCCCAGGTGGGTCTGGGCTACGGATGCTACGGTTTTTAGTGGCGTTTGCGCTATGCTTTATCTTTTTTTTTCTTTTAATCTTACATATATATATATATATATATATATGCACACATGTAATTGGATATTGGATTAATAATATGTTACCTGGGTAGCAATAGATTCCAAATTTTATACTTGGTGTTTTTGAGGTGTGTGTGGTGAGATGGGCAGGGGGGAGGTATCAGATGTCTGTTGTGGTTTGTAACAGAAAGTGAGTCTGGGATTAAAGAAATGAATGAACAAAGTGGATACTGCTAGCTAGACTACACAGATCTGTATACTTACTGATGCAGGATGATTTAGAAACTTTCTTAGTAAAGTGCTCTCAAATTTTCTAGCTTTATTTTATGGAAGCGCGCCTTCCATATCACGTGATGTGCTCCTACACATGGGATAACAGAGAAGACATAGGGAAAATGAAATGTTGCTAAATTCACTTTGGTGTAGGACAGCAGGCAGTCCCATCCTGTGTTCCCTTCGTGCTAACAAGTGTTGCAGCTCCAGTGTCCAACCAGTTGCTTTGCCGTATCTGTGCACCAGTTTTCCAGCTTTTTCTGAAGCTACTCTGAATGGAATTGAGATAATTCTTAAAACACAATTATGTAGTGTAGTAAGGACAGCACCTTGCTTCCCTCTTGCGTTGTTTGTTTTTTTTTTATTTGGTGCTGTATAACCAAAATTCTGGTCCAGCACCTGTCTTCTCTGCTCACCTTAACTGTGGTTTCTTTGAATCTTCTGCAACACACAGGATCATTTTGTTGGTCTCTGCAGGCTAACTTGACTGATGCTCCCACCAAGTGCAGTCTGTACCTTCTCACTGGGTCTGAAGTGAATTTGTATAGTGAGGAGATTGCAGGCATGGATCGTGATACTTCACCTGTGAAATTCCATTTTTCATAAAGCCTATTGCTTTGCTGTTGCACAGTACAGAGCCTGCTCAGCACCTGGGAGGGGCAGAGCAGGGAATAACTCTTGCACAATTTCACTGGGACATGCTGGAGACTTGATGTGTTCTTGAAAGGGGAGATGAGGTAACAGATTTGTCTACAAGACAGTGAGGACCCTCTTGCATGTTGGCAGTGTAGGTTAGCATGCCTCCTTGTTGTCTTTAAATAGGGAACAATAATATGGTGTGTTCTCAGAATATAGTAAATGCACAATGGTTTTCATAGCTTCAGAAATTCTGGGAAAAGTGCAGCATTTCCTCAGAAGGAGAACAGCAGTGCCAACCTGTTAAAATATGCAATGTATTGCTGGGATTGGGTTATGAGCGTATTTGCATGATTTGGAAACAGTTTAAGAAAGTATTTCCTGGGCAGGCTGCTTCTCTCAGCATCCTGCTGCTTAATGTATCAACAGCTCCAAGCGGCGCAGAGATCATGCATGGTCAAAAAGGAGTCTGAAGGATGGAACTAGGATTTGAGACTTAATTTGCTTTGGGGGGCATTTTTATAGGGGGAAAAAACCCATGGATTTTATTATGGCCATAAAATTCTACAGCTGTAAAAAATGCAAAACACACCTTTAT